CAAAGTAATTGGATCAAGTTGGTCTTGTAGAGTGTAGCGCTCTTTAAGGGCTTGGTTATATTTTATATAAACCAAGTCATTAAGACGCTTTTGCTCTAACCTGTTCCTCTTCTTGAAATGAATCTACAGAATTATTAACGATGTAGAGTCAAAAGTGGATTTTTCAATCTTCAACTAACAAGGGAAAAACCAAATTATTCTCACTTACGTGTTCAAAAACACTCCAATTGCGCTCACAGCCAGAAGCGCTGCACGTTAGACTAAGGACTCTYATGGCTAACTTTCGTAAAATYGGAGCATTAACACCATAAAGAGACCACCATGCAGCTGTGCACATATTAAACAAATGATTTAGAATTTTAGTAGTTCAAACTTAAATATGTCTATTAAAAATTTAAAACTAAAAGTAATAAATAATGTCATTACCTRGTGTTTTAACACCCCTCGTCCTTATTGCTACATTACTCGAAAACATGCCTTTTGCTTCATTGTACAATTCTAATTCGATTGAACATTGAACTTGATCATCGATAGATGGTATTAATCGTTCTATAACTTTGATCAGACCATCCATGACCTCAGGATCTTGCATTATTCTCTCTTTGTTGTCATAAAAAAGAGATGGATTCAAATAATATCCGGCTGCATGTAAAGGCCGATGAAGTTGACAATCCCACCTTTTATCAACAATCTCCCAAATCGGTCTATACTTCGTCTCATTTCCATTAAAACCACTCTTAATAGCCTCCTTTGCCCTATCCATAGCTTCGTAAATATAACCCATAGCCGGTTTATCACCATCTACTAGCCTCAACACACGAACTAAAGGGCCCGATGCTTTCAAAGTATACACAACTGAATTCCAAAAAGATGGCATCATAACGGTTTCAGCTGCTCTCTTCCCCTTTAGGTCCTTCGCCCATTTAGAGGTGGTCCATTTCTCAGAAATAAACATCTTCCTCAAATTGGCTTTATTTCTGTGAATACTGGCTAGGGTTAAAAATGAAGTTGCGAAGCGAGTCAGTGCTGGTCTTACCAATTCATGTTGGTTAGTAAATTCTCTCATCATGTTTAGCACGTACAAGTGGTTGTAAATAAAACCACTAAGTGCCACAGCCTTCCGAAGACACCTTTTCACCTACTCAATCTTTCCAATATCCTCCAAAATTAAATCTAGACAATGAGCAGCGCATGGTGTCCAATATAGATGAGGTCGCTTGGCTTCTAAAAGTTTTCCAGCTAGGACATAGTTTGAGGCATTATCCTTCACAACTTGGACAACGTTTTCTTCTCCAATCTTCTCCACCATTCCATCTAAGAGTTGAAAAATCTTTTCTCCAGTTTTGATGCATGAAGATGCATCGATGAATTCCATAAACAACGTTCCAACAGATGAATGAACTAAAAAGTTGATTAGTGTCCTATCCCTCCTATCAATCCACCCATCTGACATCAGCGAACAACCATTTCTCTTCCATTCTACCTCATGATCGCCCATAAGATTTTTTGTGTATTGTACTTCTTTTTTCAAGTACGTTACTCGAGCTTCATGATAAGAAGGAGGTATCAAACCAGGGCCAAATTGCCCCACAGCTTCTAGCATCACTTCAAAACTTCTCAAGCGAATAGTATTTAGAGGAATACCTGCTTGATATATCCAACGCATGATGAATTGCAATGTAGCATCTCTCCCTTCTTTATCATATTTTTCAGTAATAGTTGATTGCTTCAACCTCTTCAATCGATTTCTATCATCAACAACTTTTTCAGGATGTTGATAAACAAATTTATCTATTGGCCCCTTTGGTCGCGGTGGTTTTAACACTGATGGACTACAAGAGTTACTACTTCCACTTCCACTTCCACTTCCTCTCCCTCTCCCACCCATACTACTCACATTATCACCTGTGTTTATTCTTGTTCGCTTGTTCATTGGGGTTGATGTTGATCCAGATCCACTACCACTACCACCAACTACTTCCATTTCATCTTCATCATCTTCTTCAATCAAAGTTAAATCTTCATACGTTGGGAGGGCATTACTCTCTTCCCTTCTTGCTTTTGTTCTTGCTTGATACTCCTTCAATTCTTCTCTCACATTAGTTGGGCATTTCAAACATGCCTTTACATTTCTATTTCCCCCAACCAAATGGTTTGTTGCTCGGCAAACTCCACCTTTGGTAATTTTTCCACAAAACACGCATTTGCACGTGTTTGTATCTTTYGGATCATCCAATATGATGTATTGCCAACTG